CGCGGCACATTTACTGTTGCTTGGCTTTGATCCATTACGCATTCAAAGCCACGATCGAGTAATTGCAACCGTTGGGAGAGCGGCACAAATTCACTGACGGTGCTTACGTGCAAGCGAAACTTGTGACACAGCACGAAACGTTGCTGTATGGCGTGCATTTGTTGTTCAACACTGCGGCAAGCAGCATGCGGCACAATTAATTTGAAAAATTCCAACATATTTTTTTGTTCTTCCATGTCTTTGTCGTCAGTTGGCGGCGCGCAGTTCTCTAGCATATCCTATGTAAAAGTACAAAATTACGAATATTTTAAAATAAATTTTAAACGGATGTTTGAAATTTGCCAAGCATACCGCGTAAGTTTCAATGACCTTCATGCACGCCTTCATGTTCTTATCATCTCTGAGCAATTTGAAATATTCATAAGCAAGTTCAGGTTTGTTGCTGCGCACTAGCTCATGACAACAAGTAAAACTGGCGCTTGTTGCCACTTCTGGCGCAGCTTTGGTCAGCAAACGTATATCATCCAACATATCGGGCAGCTGCATTTTAACGACGCGTAGCATAAAAAGTGGCAAACTAATGTCTGTATTACTATCTGCTGGCCAGCCGTATTTGACTTTCATAATTTTTATAACTTGTATCTCATATTCTGTATTAATTTTCAATGCGAGTGGATGTGTGGAGTAGCGCAATTTTACAAGCGGATTTGATATTTCCGGCCAGGGCACTGGTGCACGCTGAAAGTTAATAGTTATTTTAGTTTAGTTATTTTCTTTGGAATTTTAATTAGTAACAAAGGTTTATACCTGCAAAACCAGCAGCGCGCATTCGAGTCGATCGTCTTCGTTGTGCAGCAAATCAATGCACGCCACAGAGCGCCCTAACCAAGTGCTCAGTGAATTGCGATTAACTACCAAAAGCGAAATATATTGACGTAAAGCCTTCACTGGCGTTTTGCCCTTCTCTTGAAAAATAGGATAGAGAAAATCATATACAAGACTTTTCAAATTATCCAAATGAACGCGTTGCAAGATGCAGAGCGCTGTTTCGTCGATTGAATCCTTTAGATAATTATCCAGCGTGAATATTAGGTTATAACGTTTTTTCAGAACGGACAGATCCTGAAGCGCATTAACGAGATCGTGCAATTTAGCAATATTGCGGTCATGCTGACGGCGTACATCGCTGGGAGGACAGTAAAATATTTTGATACAGTATTAAATAGATAGGCAGTAATTAATATTGAACATCCTGTGTGCTCAATTCGAACTTTATTCCAGACTCACCAATGCATAAAACGTATTTCCTCGAATATCTCTGCCACTTTGGTTGCAAATTCCAACCCAATTTCCGGCCAATGTTCAGCGTATTGCAATGTTCTCGTTTTTTGTATACTCCATTCGGCAAAGTATGGCATTAATTTTGGATGTGTCTTACTGACAGTGGGCACGAATTGTCGCAGCCATTGCACTATGTTGAAGGGTTCAATATGACTCGGTATTAAACTGAGAAGTTGACAAATTTCTTTCTCATTCAAATGGGGTAACAAAGCAGAAGTGTGTCGTTTCCAAATCAAGCATGCTGCCGGCATATCTGTCTTAAATAATGCAATAACCATTTTAATCAGATTTGAATGGTATACGAATTTCGACCATTCTGAATTGACCTCATAGGGATCAATTATGGCAAGCGTCTCAAGACGACGTAGTTGTTCATTTATCTCTAAGACATCATCGTTATCATTCTACAAAATGAGATATTGAATAAACCTATATTTAAAGATATTAAGCTATTTTAATACTTCTTCATCCAAAT